ATATATATATATATATATTTCCATACATTTGTATTAGAGCACAGATTTAAAAAAATGCTATTAGGTCTACAAATAAGTTCTGACCTCCCCGAATTAAACTGTAACTTTACTATAAATTCAAATCTTTCCTGCTACTTCGGGAATTCGTAGTACTAATCTTTATAATAAAAAAAAACTACATATGGAAACCTTACTAGACTGCCTATATAACTATGGACTGCTAGTTGGCTTTCTCACGTCGTACCAACATGAAAAGTGCCCCCGTCAGAAATAGCGAATCTCGGTACTTCGATGATATATCACGTACAGTACAAATCTAAGTTTGTCAGTTCAATGCTTGATTATATTTCAATTTCATAAATCAAAGGAAAGAAGACTTACTACCCGAGTTTGACCGGAATCGTCGTTATTTCGATGGCCATATAAAATTAGAAGAAGATCAAAGAAAAAAAAAGAAATTAATAATATTTTACTTCAAAATAAAATTATTTTATGAAGGGAAATGCGTCACAATATTTAAACAAAATAATCTTTTGACGCACGTTAACGAAAGCTGTAATTTTTAGCAATCAATAATATAACATTATTTGTATAGCTATTGAACATTACAATTATATTTATATAGCTATTAAATAATATATATATGTTTGTTAACACTTGTTATCTACATTTTATTATTGTGCGTTAAATTTATACATGCATATTTTACTTTGATTCTGCACTTTACTAAACCTAATAAAATAATGCAACATATGTCATATTCCATCTCTTTCTTTCTATTTTATCATCGCAACGTGACTGTGTTTCGATTTTTTGCCATTTCGCATGCGTGATGTTTGTTATGCAATTCTCTTTGTCTATCTTACGGAAAAGATAGGAAGAGTGGGGGTAACTAGCAGTCCATAGTTATATAGTCAAAGTTGCTAGACGACATTAGCTACTGGCAAAATTTGTTGCCAGTGCTGAAAATGTACAGTATACTTAATGTAAACAGTAGATTTGCAGCACTGGCAGTAAATTTTGGAACTTATAATTTATAATCTCACAAACCTTAAAGGTATTTTTACGTTGCTCAAACTGGGGGTCGATTGTGTATCTTGAAATGAGGTGAAAATTACAAAAGTGAACAAATTCATTAGAATATTCATAATTTAATTGGTCAATACATGATAATTACTGCTCATTTTTGTAATTTTTACCTTATTTCAAAATACACAATCGAGTTCTTAGTTGTTTTAACGACAAAAAAGATCACGTGACAACTTTTATCGCAGAACTATTATGCTGGAGTTCCATGAAGCGTATTTGCCGCGTATCGCGTAACCAATCAGAAGCAATCCGCTTTTTCCGCTACGCGGAAAATAGATCTCCTATTGTCCCATGGCGCGTAAAAGGTAACCTGTGTACACGCGAAAACCAATCTATTATATATAATATTTTCTATCTATTATATAAAGGGTGTCTCAAAATGACCTGACATTTTAATTTATTAATAAAACATATTATTTATTTGAAAAGTACACATGTTTTTAGTTTAATATAAAGTACAAACATGGAGGTTATATGTGGAACACAATATCCGATAAATGGCCGCCTCGACTCTGTTTGCAAACGTTCATTCTTTTGACAAAATTTTCAATGACATTTTGGCATAATTGCGGACTAATTTCATTAATGGTACGTCTAATTTCTTCCTTCAACTCCGGAATGGTCTGTGGATCATTGGCATACACTTTTCCTTTCAGAAAACCCCAAAGAGAGAAGTCCAATGGCGTCAAATCGCACGATCTTGGTGGCCAATTCACATCGCCGCGGCGCGAAATAACACGACCATGAAACTTCGTCTGCAATAACTGCATTGTTTCGTCCGCAGTGTGGCAGGTTGCACCATCTTGTTGAAAGAATATGTCTTCCAAGTCTATGCCGTTCAATTCTTCCCATAAGAAGTTGGTTATCATGTCACGATAACGAACACCATTGACGGTAACCGCATTTCCCGCAGCATTCTCGAAGAAGTACGGCCCAATCACTCCTCCAACTCAAAATCCGCACCAAACAGTGACTCGTGGTGGATGCATGGGAAGCTGTTGGATCACTTGTGGATTTTCAGTCCCCCAAATTCGACAGTTTTGTTTATTCACGTACCCATTAAGTTGAAAATGCGCCTCATCGCTGAAGATGATTTTCTTCGAAAAATCACCATCGATTTGTTGATGCTCCAATATCCAATTGGCGAATGTACGGCGCTGCGCATGGTCTGCTGGTTGCAGTTCTTGTGTCAATTGGATCTTGTAAGCACGTAAATGCAGATCTTTCGTCAAAATTCGCTGCACAGAGGATCTTGAAATGTCCAATTACTGAGCACGATGGCGAATCGAGGTGGAAGGACTTTCGTCAACACTCGCATTCACTGTGGCTATGTTTTCATTCGACCGACCAGTACGAGAACGGCCACTGCTTTTTGCGGTTAAAAGTGAGTCACTAACCTCAAATTTTTCTATTAAATTCACCACAGTATTGCGAGATGGTGCGTTATGATGACCAAAAGACGTGCGGACTTTTCGAACCGTCTCTGCAAAATGTTCACCATATTTGTAGTGGATTTTCAAAATTTCTATGCGTTGCTCGATCGTGTAATTCTCCATGACTAAACCTCAATACTTCCTGATGCCAATTGTTAAAGATACGTTAAATTCGCTGCAAAAAAAATGGCGCGCAATTTAAAATGTCAGATCATTTTGAGACACCCTTTAGAATATTTCTATATTCTCCCAGAGCTCTATGGTGGAAAGCCAAATACCGAAATTCATTGGTTACGCTATTTATAAAAACGCACCATGGGACAGGAGAGAAAACAAATTCGCATACTGTTCGTACCACACATCTCTACAGATAGTCGTATTAACTTCTATAGGATTTGCTCCGAGAGACAGGTGTCAATTAAAGAAAAATCTGTTCTGATTATACATTTATATCGTCACAAATATGAATTCAAATAATATATTGTTTTATATTTGTGCACTTCGTCAGCAAATGTATTTAAACACTGTTGATGATTTAGTTGCACATTTAAAATTGCGAAAATTAATAGTTACTTGATTATTAATGAAAAAGAACAAGCGAAATCAACGATAGTTATACGTAAATTTTGGGTTCATCCAATATTTTCTTATGAAAATCGATTACTTCAAGGGGCAAGATAATCTTGTAAAAAAATTACAATTGACAGTCAATTTTTTAATTACTTTCGTATGAACGTGGAAAGGTATCAAGAATTGTTAAATTTGGTGGACCACTTATACCGAAGCAGGAATATATTCAAATGTCAATATTTGCAAACACACATTTGGAAATTTGTTTGCGTTATTTAACTTCTGGTAGCGTGAAATCACTTTCTTATGCATACCGAGTTGAACACATAATACCATTTCCAAAATTGTGTCAAAAACTTGTGAAACAATCTGGACGGTGTTAAAAGATAAAGTTTTTCCATCATATAGTGAAGATACTTGGAAGAAAATTGCTAACAAATTTGAAAATTAGTGGAACTTTCTTAACTGCATAGGCGCTGTGGATGGAAAACACGTTATGATTCAAGTATTAATTTTTCAAAATTTTATTTAAAAATAATTTTATATTTTAGAAAACATTTCATTTTTCTTACACACACCTTCATACAGTGGCTCAACATATTATAATTATAAATCACACCATAGTTTAAATTTGCTCACTGTTTGTGATACAGAGTATTGTTTTATTTTCTTAGACATCGGAGCTGAAGGACATCAAAATGATGGTGAAGTGTTTAGAAACAGCAACTTGCATAAAGCATTGGAAGAAAATGTAATAAGAATATCACCACCAGATGTTATTGGAAATAATTAATGGACCTGTTTTACTATATGTGATTGGCAGATGAAGCTTTTCCTTTAAAAACGTATGATGCGACCATTTCCCCGAAGTCAACAACTCAATGAAACGAGAAAAATCTTTAACTACAGACTTAGTCGAGCAAGATGTGTTATAAAGAATGCCTTTGAAATATCAGTAGCGAAGTAAAGAATCTTCAAAAAACCAATTATAGCGTCTACTTCTGCTTGTAAAAAAATTATACAAGCAACTTGCTGTTTACACAATTTTATAATGAAACATGAACTGCAAAAATCAGTTGCAAAACGAGTTTATTCTACAGTGCACTCACATAATCTTGATGTTTCTACAGATTATAGACAGGATTTATAGACAGGAAATATTGGAATCAATTTTCATTCGCAAAGTGCAAATGTAATAAGAGATACATTTGCTGCACATTTTGAATGTAATATCTATATATATATATATACTAATAAAATAGTAACATTAAGAAAATTAAAAGTTAATTGAAATATATAACTAAATGAACAAATTTTTTAGGTGTATATTGATGCTTCGATACGCTTGGATGTTAGGTGATTCTATCATGATAAATGTTAATATATTTGGTTTATTGACAAATATGATTTATATGATAATTTACTATTGATTATATGAGAATCTTAAAATACATTAAGGCTTATTGAACCATACTCTCTTGCAAATATCGATAATATGGTTATTCCAACTCATAAAGGATGTCCCAAAATTAACGCAAGATTTGAATTTGCCGCCATTTGTGCAGTAAAGTGTTGGCAACCCAAAAAAAAAACAATTTAACAGCTGACAGTTTAGGGTTAGTGAAAATGGAGCGTTGAATGGATTATTGAACATCAACAAATGGATGCTGATTTTTCGAGCAAAATCATCCTAAGCGATGAAGCACATTTTCACCTTGATGGCTTTGTTAATCGCCAAAATGGCCCCCTAGATCGTGTGATTTAACACCATTAGATTTCTTTTTATGGGGTTATTTGAAATCACAGGTCTATGTCAACAAGCCCACAACCACCCGTGCATTAAAGGAGGAGATTCAACGCTGCATCAACGAAATTCAGCCACATTTATGCAAAATGGTCATGGAAAATTTCGACAAACGAGTGCGTATGTGCATGCAAAGCCGTGGAGGCCATTTGCCCGATGTGTTATTCCACAAATAACCCTATCCTATGTACTTTATGATTCAATAAAAAAATAACAATCAAAAGACTAAAAACTGTGTTTTCTATTTAATTCAAATCTTGCGTTAATTTTGGGACACCCTTTACTTTCTTGCAGATATCAATTAAATAGTATGGCTATTCCAACTATACCTTTTGAGTGACTGTACTATATAGTATGTATAGTAGGATTATACATGTACATGCCCAATTAGTAATACAGCACAATTACGATATTATGATAATTTATATAAATTAGAAAAATTTGAGAATCTCAATCTAAGTTGATAGACATGCTACCATTAAGAAAGTTGGGTTGTCCATAATTATATAATTGCAATATTAATAATAGTATGGTAATAATAGCTATATAAAGCACATAATATGACTGAATTAATCATATTTATGGCTAACATTTCTAATTTTTCTCAGTAAGTTTGGAGATTTAATCGATTTGCAATATCCCGACAATTTGGTCACTCCAGCATCTATTTAATATAATAATTTTTAATAGAATAAAATACTAATTTAATAAATTTATTTAAAAATTCTTTAAAATGATGATGTAATTTTTCTATATGTGTATATACGTAGGCTGTCGGAAAAATTTCTGCAATCTAGTACTTCCAGTGGCGCCAACGTTCTGCTACTATCATATTCGTAAAATTAGACGTTTTTAACCTATAATTCAATTGACAGTTTGTATCCAAGCCAACTAGTTTTGTTTGCATAGTATTTTAAAAGAAGTTATTTTGTAAGAAAATGGAAATTTCGCGTGAAAATTTTCGAGCAATGATTTTTTACGGTTACAAATGTAATCTAACTCCGAAACAATGCATCGATCGACTTCATTTGGTTTTTGAGGATAAAGCACCATCCAATAGGACTGTTTATAATTGGTTTGCCGAATTCCAGCGTGGATGTACCTTTCTTAGTGATGAATTCCGTGAAGGTCGTCCATCCATGTCTGTTGTTGCCACTAATGTTGATGCTGTGCGTGAAATGATTGAGCGAAACCGGCATATAACATACTGCGAGATTCAGGCATCTTTAGCCATTGACATGAAAGCAATACATACGATTTTGCATGATCACTTGAGCGTACGGAAACTTTGCAGTCGTTGGATCCCATACAATTTGACCGAAGCTCAAAAACAGGCTCGTGTTAAATGGAGCAAAGAAATGCTCAAGAAATTCAAGAAATTCCGAGGTCGATCAAATTTGGTCTACAACATCGTTACTGAGGATGAAACATGGATCTAATCGTATGAGCCCGAAAGTAAACAACAATCCACTGTTTGGGTATTTCAAAATGAACCGACACCAACAAAAATTGTTCGTTCACGCAGTGCTGCCAAGCAAATGATTGCTTGTTTCTTCGGTTATACCGGACATGTGACAACCGTGGCTTTAGAGAATCGAAGGACTGTAAATACTGATTGATGTACAACAATTTGTTTGCCAGAAGTCATAAATGAATTGAGTAGAACAAACCGAAATCGTCGCATCATCCTGAAGGACAACGCCAGCTGTCACACAGCACGTCAAACCGTTGATTTTTTATCCAGTAATAATGTTGAATTGATGACTCATTGTCCGTATTCACCTGATTTATCACCTAATGACTTCTTTTTGTTCCCAAACATTAAAAATAAGATGCGTGGTGAGCGATTTGAGTCGCCTGAAGCAGTTGTTGAAACATTTCGTACACTGATTTCTGAGATTACAGCCTTAGTGGAAAAAATGCTTCGAAAATTGGTTCGAGCGTATGCAAAAATGTGTCGATCTTAAAGGCGAATACTTCGAAAAACAATAAAATAACCATTTACCGAATTTTACATGTTTTTTTTCATATTGTTTGCAGAAACTTTTCCAGCAGCCTATGTATGTATTGTATATATATTTTAAACGCTTCAACTTTGAAGTAGAATATTTCGATTTTTAATCCCGCTTTGGGTTTTAAAGCATATATGTTCAGGACACTAAAACAAACAACTTATTTGTAAGTTTTAAAAAAAATCTAAAGAAAATGGATTTGTTCAGAGAATGTCCTTAATATAGTACACACTCAGCTAACTTTGGAAAATTAGGATTTGACAGATCAAATATTAACAATTGTGTACAAAAAAGAAAAATCGAACTTTATCATATGGATTTAAAGCTTTATTATCATAAAGTTTTTACCTTTATCTCACTGATCGCATTAGTAGTAACAGATTTGGCAATGCCACAGTGCATATCTGATACGAGGTCAACTTCATATAACCTAGATCCATGTCGGCGTAAAGAAACAGATATGAAAATAATACAAAATCGGCTTTTATCCTAATTCTGAATTTCTCCCTTATCATTCGCCATGACTGTGTGGGTAAGGAGTAGTTCGGTATTAACTATGACTCGGTTGGTGCGGACACTTGTACTTTATTTGTTAGACAGAAGTCGAAAGCGTGGTGCATTCGCGTCGACGAGTAAAAAGAGACTGATTTCTCAGATCGTTGCTTGGCTTATAGAATCCTGAATGGGTATAGGTATATTATTCGCATGTGTTGTACAACAAGGTTCCATATTTCGAAAAGCTGCAAGAAAGATGTGTACATATGTTGACAATATGCAATTCAGTTGAATGAGTGAAAAGGCTGTCTATGACACTCACATGGACGATATAATTATTTTAACTTGTAAACATTTAACAAATATTAGAACACATAATATACGTATATTAATTGTTTGTTATTCTTTTGATAAGAAAAATATATCTGAGGGCGACGCCGCGCGCACGTGTCGCTACAGTACCCCCCTGCTAGTGATTTGCCTAATCACGAGAAACCGCCCTGAAGTCGGTCCAGGAATCGCACTCGTCTGCCCGATCGTGTGTTTTGCCGTAAAGCGGTCTTGGTCGGCTCCTGGGCGGTTGGTGGGTCGGTCCTCCTTGCTGAATTTTCTGGGTTATCCAGCTCCGATGGCACGGACGGTTGCAATGATGTGCTGGAACTTGGGGAGTTCTCCAAACGCTGCTCGATTGGTAGCGAGCTAGCCTTCTCTGGTTCCCTGTCTTCTGAAATGATGTAGGCGGGCTTCAGCCGATCGATAGACACGGTTACATCCCTACCTCGGATGTGAACCACGAATGTTTTCGGTTTGCGGTTGACCACTTTGTAGGGTCCGTCATACGGTTGCTGCAGGGTTCCTCCAGGTGCGTTGTGGCGCACGAATACTTGGTCTGCCGTACTGAGATCTTTGAACACAAAGGTCCGCCGTTCGCCGTGGCGGGTGCCGTTTGTCGGGCGGAGTCTTCGAAAGTGCTGCCTTAAATCTTTGACGTATTCGGCTGCGTCGGCTTCTGGGAAGCCAAGAACTCTCCGGGCAACCGATTGACTCGCCGTAGAGAAGGTCGGCTGTGGTCGCTCCCAAATCCTCTCGCCACGCAGCCCGGATGCCGAGCAGCACGGTGGGAAGAACCTTTGTCCATTGGTCTTTCTCGTGGCCACTTGATGGCTGCCTTGAGTTGTCGATGTAGTCGCTCTATCATCCCATTGGCCGCTGGGTGATACGCTGTTGTCTTGAGGTGCGCTACTCCGTATAGCGCGCTAAGCTGCCTGAATAGCTGCGATTCGAATTGTCTCGCCTGATCGGTGGTGATGCGGAGTGGGGTGCCGAATCGGGCTATCCAGCCTTCGTAGAAGGCACGAGCGACGGTGACGGCCTCCTGATCCACGAGCGGTATCACCTCTAGCCATCGAGAGAATCGGTCGACGCAAGTCAGGCAGTACCTGTAGCCTTCCGAGCTGGGCATGGTGATGAGGTCGAGATGGACGTGCTCGAACCTCGATGACGGTGGTGCGAAGGTACGCACGGCGCCGAAACATGGCGAGTTATTTTTTATCGCTGGCACTCTATGCAGCTTCTTGCCCATCTTCGACAGTCGGATTTGATTGACGGCCAAACGAATCGTTGTGTCACTAGCTTGACAGTCGCCTTGATCCCCGGATGCGCGAGCTGATGTACCGATTCGAATGCCGCCCGGCGGAACTGTTTGGTGACGAACGGTCTTGCTGTTGTTGAAGACACGTCGCAATACACGCTCACCGGTGTCCCCGGTAATTGCATCCTTTTTATCTACAGTGCCGAGTTCCCATTAAAGTAGATTTTTAACTCGTCATCGGTCTCCTGTGATGTTGCCAGAGCTTCGTAGTCCAAGGCTGCGATTTCTTCAACGCGTGAGAGGGCGTCGGCGACGATGTTGTCCTTACCGGATACGTGCCTGATATCGGTCGAGAATTGACCGATAAAGTCGAGGTGACAGCATTGTCGTGGTGAGCCCTTGTCGGCTTTCTGTCGAAAAGCAAAGGTGATCGGCTTGTGGTTCGTATAGATCGTGAAGGTCCTAGCTGCTACCATGTGCCTGAAATGTTTGACGGCGAGGTAGATGGCGAGGAGTTCCCGGTCATGTATGCGCTGTACTTCTTTTCGGCACCACTTAGCTTCTTGGAGAAGAAGGCTAATGGTTCCCAGCTATCGCCGATTCGTTGTTGAAGAACCGCCCCCACTGTGAAATCCGAGGCGTCGGAGGCTATTGCGAGCGGCGCGTCCGGTTCAGGGTGAGCCAGTAAAGCCGCTTGCGCAATGCTCTCCTTGCATTCATCGAAGGCGGCCTGTGTCGATGTAGTCTAGGAGATGGGTGTCTTACCCTTCATATTCCCCTGAAGTAGGTCATTCAATGGTGCTTGAAGGTAAGCCGCTCTGGGTATGAACCTCCTATAAAAGTTCAACATACCTAGGAACTGTCGCAGCTATTTCGCCGTCGTCGGCTGCGGGTAACTTCGGATGGCTTCGACCTTCTCGGGCAAGGGCTGAGTCCCCTCGGCGGAAACTCGATAGCCAAGGAATTTAACTTCCGCCTGCCCGAACGCGCACTTGGTCTGATTGATAACCACCCCGAATTTTCTTAACCGTTCGTACACGATCTCCAGGTGCTCGCGTTCGATGCGACGAGTATGTCGTCTATGTACGCGTAACAGAAATCCAGACCTCGGAGGACTTCGTCGATGAACCGCTGGAAGGTTTGCGCGGCGTTGCGCAGGCCAAATGACATGAACGGAAATTCGAATAATCCGAACGGTGTCGTTATAGCCGTTTTTTTTATGTCCTCCGGTGCGACGGGGATCTGGTTGTACGCCCGAACTAGATCTATGGTTGAAAAGATACTTTTACCTCGTAAGGACTGCGCGAAGTCCTCTATGTGTCGGACGGGGTATCGGTCTGGCAAGGTCCTTGCATTGAGGGCGCGGTAATCTCCACATGGACGCCATTCGTCGCTGGCTTTCTTCGGGACTATGTGCAGTGGTGATGCCCAGCAGCTTTCCGATGGTCGTGCTGTCCCAAACTGGATCATGGTCTCGAATTCCTTCCTGGCCGCGCGCAGTTTCTCCATCGGCAAACGTCTTGGCTTATTTGCCACGGGAGGACCTGGTGTCGTTCGGATGTGATGTTGGGTCGAATGTTTCGGCTCAGCAGGGGCGCCGCCCGGGTGCGTGATTTCCGAACACTTCTGTAACTGTTCGTGATAGATCGACGTTCCAGCAATGGTTTTAACGCCGGGGATGTTACCCTTTGCGACGTGACCTTTGGCAGTCAACGAAGTCAGCTGATTCACTAGGCGGCGGCCACGAACGTCGACGAGCAAGCCATAGAACGCCAGGAAATCCGCTCCGATGATTGGTTTAGGCACGTCGGCGTAACCCGAGGTCGAGCGTAATTGTGATCGTCCCATAAGTCGCGATGAGCTGTTGTTTGCCGCCATGAGCTCGTACGTTGACTTCTCCCGCGGCCCGCGTAGAAATGTTCGCGGGTAAACGCAGAGATCGGCGCCGGTATCAACTAAAAATCCCTTCTTGGAGTTTCTGTCCGTGACAAACAGGCGGAGGGACGTAAGGCTCGAGTCGCTTGCCTCCATTAGTGACCGTCCTGATCGTTTCCCGAACGGAAGTTGCACGGCGGTTCGCATCTTGTCGCGTCAGCACCAAACCGCTAGTGGTACCAGCAGACGCCGTCCTTGCCGCGACCGCGGCTGCGCGCGCGCTGCCTGGACGGTGAACGCCGCTCCCGCGATCGACTACCGCGAGCCGACACGCGGTCTTCTACCGCCGCGATCTCTTGACGAAGTCCATTCGCCAACTCCCCCATTTTGGCGGTGATATGGATGGTCAATCGCTCGAGCATCGTCTCGAACGAGTCCGTCGATACGGCCGCGACCTGGTGCCTTTCAAGCAAGGCGTCGCTGACGGCGTCGGCGAGCTCGGCCATCTTATCCAAACCGGCTTCCGTCTGGGTTACCAGGATGACCCGCATGGACGCTGGAATTCGCCCTAGCCAGATGGTTTTGAGCAACTCGTCCGGGACGGCGGTGCCCGCCAGCCCACGCAGGTGGCGAAGGAACTGGTCTCCCATCTCCTCTTGTTCGAGTAACTGCCGTGTCTTTTTCTCCTGTGAGGTCCCGAGCCGGCGTATGAGCTCCGTTTTAAGTAACTGGTACTTTCCGGTCTCGGGTGGATCGACCAATATATCGCGGACGTCCTCGGCGTATCGGGCATCGAGGTTACCCGTGACGTAATGGAATTTTGTATCGTCGTTTGTGATTCCCGAGAGCGCAAATTGACTCTCCACCTGGCGGAACCACAGTTCGGGATCGCGAGCCCAGAACGGCGGAATCTTGGTCGCCACTCAGTCGATCGATGCGGCAGAGCTTTCTTTATCCATGATAGCAGGGGTTATGGTCGGGTCTCAACGTCAGTTCGTATAATTTTTCGGTGTACCTACACAATTACCCACACTGCACTTTACGGAAAACGCGATATACGCATGCGGGATCACGTCGAGGTCACCAATTATGTGGGTAAGGAGTAGTTCGGTATTAACTGTGACTCGGTTGGTGCGGACACTTGTACTTTATTTGTTAGACAGAAGTCGAAAGCGTGATGCATTCGCGTCGACGAGTAAAAAGAGACTGACTTCTCAGATTGTTGCTTGGCTTATAGAATCCTGAATGGGCATAGGTATATTATTCGCATGTGTTGTACAACAAGGTTCCATATTTCGAAAAGCTGCAAGAAAGATGTGTACATATGTTGACAATATGCAATTCAGTTGAATGAATGAAAAGGCTGTCTATGACGCTCACATGGACGATATAATTATTTTAACTTGTAAACATTTAACAAATATTAGAACACATAATATACGTATATTAATTGTTTGTTATTCTTTTGATAAGAAAAATATATCTGAGGGCGACGCCGCGCGCACGTGTCGCTACAACTGCAAAAGTGACACATCGCAAAGTGCAACGCAGTGCAAATATACATTCCACCTTTGTCCAAATATATTAGGTGTACAAAAAAGTTCTGAGCTTTAGATTTGATACAACCGAAATAACAATTTAAATTTTATATATCTTCCCGCCCTTTTGGGGTTTTAAAACAGTAACATTTAACCTCCTGAAATGCGATATGGTTTGGCGTTTGATGCACATAACCTCAAAAATCAGTAGTGTTCACGATGGCAATTACAAAAGAGCATATTCGATTTTCCATCCACTTCGCGTTTCATCTGAAGAAAAATGCTGCTGAAGCCACTGAAATGATTTGTGCTGCATATGGAGAGAACGCTGTAAGTCATGCAACATGCAAAAGGTGGTATCAAAAGTTTCGCCAAGGAGATTTCAGTCTTAAAGATGAATCGCGTGCTGGACGCCCTGAAAAGATTGAAACGGACGAATTGCAAGCACTGCTGGATATAAACTCTGCGCAAACTGAAAAGGAGCTTGCAGAACAGCTTGGCGTTACGCAGCAAGCCATTTCCGTACGATTACATACGATAAAAGTATACGATTACATACGAAAAAGCTCAGAACTTTTTTGTACACCTAATACATTCGACCTTTCACCAAGTCATTGACAATACATTTGTTAATATTCTATACACTAATAGTTTAGTAAGAATATAGCACGTAAATAGTATCCACAATTCATTACTAATATTATACGAAAATATACGAGGTCTGTTCAAAAAGTCTCGCGAATTTTGTGTTTTTTCAAAAATTATTTATTTATTCATGAATATCTATTTTGTCCCCTTCAAAGTAATCCCCATCAGATATTATACACTTGTGCCAACGTTTTTTCCAATCCTCGAAG